TGTGAAAGTTAAATAAAAATGTGGGATGGATACCACCTTCGGGCCAGCCAGAGTGGCCTCCATGAGTCCTGACAGGGTCTTGGAGAGGTAGGAGCCACTTAGATCTGGTTTTAGAAATGTCCCAGATGGTCATATGTGGTATAGATTAGAGGTACCAAGACAAGACCTGGGAGCTAAGATGGGAATCAGGCAGCCAGAGAGATGGGGAGGCACTAGGAGGATACTGGGGTGAGTAGGCAGGAGATAAGGTGCAGAAGAGGTGACCTTATGATGTGAAGGAGTGGCTGTGGAGGCTAGAGGCTGCCATGTCATGGGGCTGGGTCACTGCAGGCCCAGCAGCCAAGGAAGGCTTTCTGCTGATGGGTCATAAGCATCACTGTGAAGGACAGGAAGCATCTGGGTGTGGGGCAAGATGAGGAGGAAGGGAGTTCCCAGGAGAGACTACCAGGAAGGGGGAAAAAATAGTATTTTGTTCCTACCAATGCATAGCTGACAAAGTATCTTGACACACACACACATACCCCCCCTGCTTTGCATTTGTCCCTCACAGAATATCTGTGGCCTCCCTGTCATCATCTCCTGCTCAATGAAGAGGGATTGAGACCCAAAGAGGTCTAGAAACACTCTAGACTCACACAGAGCCAAGTTCACCCTGAACCCTTGGTGCTATCTCAGCTTGGGCCAGGCTACTTGTACAGTAGCCCAGACCAGCATGTCCAACACCCAGGCTGCTCCCTGACCAGTGACCTCAGAATCCCTGAGTGTGGGACCCAGGCACCAGTATCTTTAAAGCTCCCCAGGTGGTTCCAGAATGCAGCAGGGGTGGGCACCGCTGCTGTATATCCTAGGCACAGCCTCCAAGTTGCTGTTGACCCAGAATGATTATTAATAGCGCTCCCTTTCACTCTCCAAGGTGACCCAGTTTGGAAAATGAAGTATATGATTGTCCCTGCTTACAATCTACAGAAATAGGGAATCACAGGATAAACTGATTTTTAAACTCTTTAGTTACATTTTCAAATAATAGGCTCAATAGGGTTTTCTTCAATCTCTAGACACTTTTTCAGGTGAAATTCCCCTAAATTGGGTTGGCAAGCTAAGGCCCCAAAGCCCAAATCCAGCTCACTGCCTGTTTTTGCAATAAAGTTTTATTGGAACACAGCCACACCCACTCATTTCCGGCTTATCTAGTGCTACTTTCTACTACAACAGCAGAGCACAGTACTTACAACAGAAACCATACGGCCCACAAAGCCTAAAATGTTTACTATCTGGCCCTTTACAGAAAAAGTCTGATTTGCCTGTTTATAACATTGAGTCCAGTTGTTAAGTTACATTATATCCCTGGGTGTCCCAAAAGATGGGCTGGGAAATGGAATGACTAAGGTCAACCACACCGGCAGTCAGCCATGCCTCTGTGACTGACCCCCAATAAAAACCCTTTTGTTTGTTTGTCTGCTTGTTCAATGAAGTCTGAGTGGAGACTTATCTACGGCTGCCACACATTCAGCAGAGGTGTCCAGGGGTTCCTGTAGTCTGAGAGTCCCCAAGACTATCCTGTTTCCACGATTTGATAGAAGCACTCGCAGGACTCAGAAAAGCTGTTATATAGTTATGACAAAAGGGTACAGATTAAAATCAACAAAGGAGAAAGGCACATTGGGCAGAGTCCAGGAGACATGAGGCACAAGGTTCCAGTTGTCCTCTCCCAGTGGAGCCTCAGGAACAGTGCTTGCTTCAGCAATATGCATGAACATTGGCAGCCAGGGAAGCTCACCCAAGCCTTGGGGACCAGGGTTTTTACTGTGGGTCAGTCACACAGGCATGGCTGACTGCCTGCATGGCTGACTTTAGTCATTCAATCTCCCACCTCTTTAGAGGTCAAGCTGATACATGGCGTGGCCCAAGGACCCCATCATAAAATCACATTGCTAGTTAGCATAGACCATCTGGAGTGGCCCAAGTCCCCCAGGTAAAGAAGGGCATTGTTGTCAGGCAGGATATACCAAAGACTTAGAGGTTACCTCCTAGGAGCAGGTCAAGGGTCAAACCTTTCTTTGGAATAGGCAGGGTGTGGACAACCCAGACATGATGAGTTAATTCTTTACTGCATAGTTCCTCTTATGGGCCGGGCTACCTGGTAAGGAATTCCAAGGTAACGCCAGTGCCTCTTTTACTGCAACAGGCTCAAGGTCGGACTGCAGGCTCAGGCCTCAGCGCACCCTAGCCACCTGGGCAGTGCTAACACAGCCCCATGCCTGGTCTCCACCCAGACTTATTAGATTGAATCCTCCAGGACTGGGGCCTAGACATCAGGACTTGTAGATTGTATCCCTAGAGATTCAATACTGAGACAGGTTTAAGAAGCCCTCGGTATGGGCTCTGGGACCACCCCTGTGGACAAGGTGGGGATAAGTACAGTGGAGAGGTGTAGATACAGGGAGGATGTTCTTCCTAGAGGGTCAGGAAAGGATGTGCTACTTAGGCCGGGCCTGGGGGAACCAGCAAGGTTTAAGTCAGAGGAGGGGGAGATGGAGAGATAGAGGAGCAAGGGGACACTAGAGAGGACAATAGGCTGGAAGGAGAAACAGGCTTAATCCCCCAGAGCCTTAATCCCCCAAAGCCTTTAATGCCACTGGACTTGGTTTTGTGGCTAAAGGGCATCTAGTGAGGCTCTTTGGTGCTGGGCATGTCAGGCTCAGAGTTGTGTTTTAAAGAAAGTAGTCCCTTGGCCAATGCAGGCTGGACTATAAGTAAGGTGGGAAGAGGGAGAGGACAGCCAGGGCAGTAGGGACCTGCTGAGCAGTCCTGGGAACAGAACCATCCACCATTAGTTCACCAAATACTCATTTCATGCCTGCTTCACACCAGGCCCCATTCTAGGCACTGAGGGCCCAACAGTGAACATCACACAGTGCCTGCCATTGTTGGGCTGGCAGACAGGGAGAGAAGCAGTCAACAAACATACAGTGTGTCAGGTAAAGCCAAGTGCTGTGGAGGAAGGTACCACAGAATAAGGAGTGTGGGGAGTGAGAGTAAGAAAACTTTCTACAAGAGAAGAGTGCAGAGGCCTCTCTGATAAGGTGACATTTGAGAGAAGTGAGTAAAGTGGACGTTGGCTGGTGGAGGGGTGGGAGAACATTCCAGGGAGAGAGAACCACAAGTGCAAAGGCCCTGAGGTTGCCATGAGCATGATAGTGAGAGCGGTATCAGTGGTGCCAGAAATATGGGGGCAGATGTGAAGACATTTATGGAGAATCAACAAGATTTATGACTAGTTGAATGGTGGGTGGATGATGTGACTTCGGTTTGGTTTAAGGCAGGGGTGCTTAACACTTGCTACGCTTTAAAATCATGTGGGGACCATTTAAAAATTCCAGTGTTCATGCTCTATTATATTCTGTTTATCTGGAGTTCAAAAGTAAACAAAACCACCCAGAATGTAAGCACATAACACAATTTAAAACTGGGCAAAAAAATATAAATAGACACATCACAAAAGAAGATATGCAAATGGCCAGTAAGCCCATGAAAAGATGCTCAATATAATTTGACGTCAGGGAAATGCACATTGAAAGCACACTGAGATACTACTACATACCCACTAGAAAGACTAAAATTGAGACTGACCATACTAAATGCTGGCAAGGATGTGGAGCAACTGGAACTCTCATACACTGCTGGTGGGAATGGAAAATGTTACAGTCACTCTAGGAAACAAGTTAGCAGTTTCTTATAAAGCTAACATAAGTTTACCACCTAACCTGGCATTTCCACTTCTATGTATTACCCAAGGGAAATAAAAAAGAACATATGTTCACACAAAGACTTTCTTGTATATGAATGTTCATAGCAGCTTTATTCATAATAGCTGACAATGGAAAGAGTTCAGGTGTCCAATAACAGGTGAGTGTGTGAGCAAACTGTGATATATCTACCCAGTGGGGTACTACCCAACCATAAATAGGAATGAACTAATGATGCATGCAACAACACGGATGAATCTCTAGAAGGTAGTACTAAGCACACACACACACCCACACACACAAACAGCAAAACAAAACACAGAACAAAATAAAAGCAAACCACAGACTACCTACCATATGATTCCAATTATATGAAATTCTAGAAAAGGCAAAACCATAAGTGACCAAAAGCAGACCGGAGTTTGCCTGGGATTGGGACTGGCAGGGAGACTGACTGCAGAGGGGTACAGAGGAACTTTTTTGGTGTGAAAGAAATGTTCTACAGCGATGGTGGTGGTGGCTTACACAAGTATATGTATTTGTCAAGACTAGTTTTCACACATAAAATGGCATATTTTAGTGTCAATGCATTATACTTCAATAGAGCTGATTAAAAAGAAAGCAAAACTCATCTTTAATGGCAGAGGTCAGAATAGTGGTTACTTGGGGGAGGGGGGACACCTGCCTGGAAAGGGCACAAGATAGCCCTGCTGGGGGACAGGAAGTACCCTATACCTTGATCTGGGTGGTCACCACAGGGATGTATACTTATGTTAAGATTCATTGAGCTGTACACTCAGGATTTATGTACTTTACCATGTATAAATTATACTTAATTTTTAAAAAGTAATGATGTCTGGACCCCATTCCCAGAAATTGAGATTTAATTGGTCCAAGGATGTTGTGCCCAAGCTTTGTTATATTTTAGGGGCTCCTAGGAGAGTCTAATATCCAGCCAGAGTTGAGAGCCACTGTTTTTAGAGACAGAAAGGAGGGCAGTGTTGAGTCTCAGCGCTGGGGAGTATTCTGACGCCTTTGCAGTCTGGTGGCACATTCAGGGCTGGGGAGGATGCTCAGCTCAGATTTGGCTTTTAGGGGATTTGAGGGGAGGGTGGGTCTTCTGAGCTTCTATATGGACACCACAAGGCTAAGCTGGGTCCTCCAGACTTGGAGGCTGTAGACAGAGCTGATTTTGTGCTGAGTACTCTCGGGAAATGTGTACTTGGTGGGGTTTGCTTCTTTTCCTACTCCTAGGGCAAGATGGCAGCAGATGAAGGTGCACAGGACACCTTACGTCTCCAGTTCAAGGCCATGCAGGAGATGCAGCACAAAAGGTTACAGAAGCAGATGGAGAAACAGAAGGAAAAGGAACTGAGCCTCAAAATCAAAGTCGATGACCAAAAAGAGCCCTTGGAGATTTCCGATGGCCTCAGCCTTCTCCAACCTGGGGATCAAAACTCGAAAAACAGCTTTGAGCAGAGGTAAATGCAAGTTTGAACTCTCCCAGGAGCACTGGAGGGAGGTAAGGAGGGAGGGGGCGAACTGATCACAGACCAGTGGGCAATCAGGTTGACCAGATGTGTGTTTACAAGTTGAGCCACAGAAGTTTTGACACAGGTTGTCACACTTGGGTCTGATAGATCTGTGCTCCTATGGATATATTGGTATAAATGATGTATATTTAAAAATAATTTAAAGTCAAATGGAAAATTTGAAGCTCATCAGGGTGTAGTTTATTCACTTGAATTTTCTTATTCAGTCTCTTTCATGAAAATTGTGTTTGGGTTTCTGAGGAGCTGGTTGGCTAACTCTGATGGTTCATAAATGATCATTGCTCCAAATTCTCATCTGGGATCATTCTCCTATGCCAATTTCCCTTTCCTGACACATAACAACCCATAAACATACCTGTGTAAAGAAGCTCTTGGTGGGTTCCTTGGTTCTTCCATGGTGAAAAGGTTGAAAGGAGTCCAGAATCTTCTCATTTTGCTCTAAATTCAACAATATCACAGATGCATGTTGATTTATACTTGCTGTTAGAAGCAGAAGGCTATGTTGATACAAAATTCTCTGCTAATAAAAAAAAAGAAAAGAAAAGAAAGAAAAAAGAAAGAAACCACAATAGTTGTTGAGTTGTCTCTTTGCTTCTGGTTTGGCCCAGAATCTATCTTCTCCATTTTCAGGTTCTACCTTTTATGGTTTCTCAATTTTCAAAATATTCTACTAAAAAATGCTAACTGGGAAAAACATACAGGTTGCTCAGTAATTGAAAAAGTTCCTATGGCTCCTAAATATTAGCTCTAAGTTAATCCCAGACCTATTTCCCGGTGATCTTTCCCCAAATCAGAGAAACTGGAATTGGTGGAGACTTGAGCCATTGGTAGAATAACAACACTAATGATAATATCAGGGGCCCCTGGGTAGCTCAGTTGGTTAAGTGTCCAACTCTTGATTTCGGCTCAGGTCTTGATTTCGGGGTTGTGAGTTCAAGCGCTTCGCTGGGCTCCATGCTGAGTATGGAGCCTACTTAATGATAATAATAATAATAACAATGATAATGACAATATCAGCTGTTGCATAATAATTACTGTTCCCTCTAACTTCTGTAATTTTCTTGCTTCCCCACACACCTGTCCCTAGGGAGCCCATTCCGTGCCTCACAGTAGAAGTGATCACAGGCCCATCAGTCACATGTTTCTCATGTTTTAAAGTGCTGAAGAGAGCCTGGCAAGACGACTTATAATAAACAAAACCAACAACCTGCTCTGATTTTCTGTCAAGGTTACCTGAAACCTAGAGGCCTAGCCTTAAGACTTAGGCAATTCCTATTTGGTCTTCTAATATGTGTGTATATATACATATATGCAGTTCTGACTATCAATGTCCTTCTGAGTATCACTTTAGGTGTATGTCACAAGCTTTGATGTATATTGCTGCTGCAGTCATTCTGTTCTAAATGCTTCATAATACACATTACAATTTCTTCGCAACCCATATGTAATTTAGGAGAGTGGTTTTTGTTTTTGTTTTTGTTTTTTTTTAGTCTCAGACAATGGGTTTTGGGGTTTGTTTTTTATTTTAATTTTTGCCACATTTTTTTACTATTGATTTCTAATTTTAGTCAATTGCCATTAAAGAAAATGGCCTGAATGATTTCCACTATGTGGAATTTGCCAAGATTGCCTTTGTGGCCTATAATATAATACATTTTTATCCATATTCCATGGATGCTTGACGGAGTATGAATTCTTGGAGAGGGGCAGTCGGTTATATAGCCCTCTCTTAAATCCACAGTAAACAATGTTATTCAAACATTTTCTCTCCTTTCGTGTGTGTGTGTGTGTGTGTGCACACTCAGTTTTGAGAACAGTGTGTTAAAATCTGCTCATTGACATTTTTCTATTTCGTACAGACCAGTCCTTACCACCACCTAGTATCCAACCAGATACAACACACCTGGGCGGGGGAGACCTGACTCCCGCCCATCATCGGTCCCTGTAACTCTGCCTTCGCCCTTACAGGATGCTTGAAGATGAGATTGCACACCTTCGAGAACAGCTCAGGGAGACGGTGGATGAAAATGGGCGATTGTACAAGCTGCTGAAGGAAAGGGACTTTGAAATCAAACATCTCAAAAAGAAAATAGAAGAGGACAGATTTGCCTTCACAGGTAGCTCCAGCGTGGCCGCCACAGTCCCTGCCTGGAAGTCCTGGTAGCTGGCCCAGCCTCTGTGGAGCCCCCTGGGCAGGGCAAATAGCAGGTTCCAGAGGGCAGGTGCTCAAGAGAGAGTGCCAAGGGTCAGCTGTGGTCAGTCTTGTCCAGATGAGTCCTGGAAATGAAGGAGCGGGTGGAGGAAGAGAGCTGGCCAAGGAGGCCAGTGTACCAGGAAATGGGAGCACATGAACAGCAGGGACAGTCTGCAGGCCTTCTGGGCAGTGTTGATGGCCCAGCTAGGACTCACGACGGGGGTTCTCCATGGATGCTAGCTGCGTGTCGTGGGCCAGCAGGGTCCATTTGATCTTGCTGCTCAGGCTCAGACATTATATTATGGATGTGAAAAAGCCCCAGTGGACTTTACTGGCATTTACTCCACAGCACTCCAGAAAAGTGGATGGGACAGGGAAGGTAGCTGTTCTAAGGGGATTTCCTAGGACCCAGTAGGGTCTAGAATGGGGCTTGGCCCTTGAGGTCTGGGCTGGACTTTGGCTCTGTTGGTAGGGACATAGGCCTATGGGCCTGGAGATGACCTTAGCTCTGTGGGTGTGGGCTGGACATTGGCTCTGTGGTTATGAGCTAGACCTTGGCCCTGAAGATCTGGTGGGGACGTTGGCCCTGACTGTCCTCTGTTCCACATAAACCCATTGAGCAATTCCCAGGTAGCTGACTAAACCAGAAAATTGGTGTAACTGATCACAGATAACAGCGGGCCACAGCCGGCATCTGCCAGAGCGTCCCTCCCCGCCTTTGAGAGCCAGTCTCTTTAAGGTTCGGGGCATGCAAAGCACCAGAACTGAATGAAAAAGCAAAGGGAACTTGGTATCCTAAAGGCCCTTGGCAGCCTATTGTGTCTCCCTCCATTCTTTGGGCCTTTTCTGTCTAAAACGAAAACTGCACTGAGGAAAAGGACTTGGGAGACATAGAAACACACCCAGCCTGGCTCGGGTTCAGATGTGGAGGGGCAGCTTGCCCTTCGGCAGGGCTGTAGAGAAGCCGATGAGCTACAGGGGGAAGCAGGAGATGCTTCCTCACCCCCGGAGACTGGGGACCCGGGGGCCCCTCCCCCTTGCCCAGCCTGTCCCATGCTCTCTCTTGTCATCTCTGCCAGCCTGCTCGCGGCCTCATCTGATTGCCTAACTCTTCCTCAAGACCTCTTGAGTCCAGTCCTCGCTGTGCAGTCCCCATTTCTGATTTCCAGCATCAAGTTTGGAAGAGAAAAGTCTGACGGGCCTGGTGCATGTTTTTAGACCAGGCCACAAGTGATGGGCTGCTGACAGCTGATGGACTGGTTTTCCTTTGGCTGGATTTTTAGTGATTGCTTTAATTCTGTTGTTTTTTTTTTTTAAAAAAAAAAAACTATTTCTTTGTATGAGTTTTTAGTGATTGCTCAGGTGATCACAAAATACATAACTTTTCACAGTCTACTTAGAATTAGCATTTTCCCACTTCAAGCGGAATGAAGGAACTACCACGCTATCGGTCCCTTTGCCCTCCCTCATACAGTGCAGCTTTTATATGTGTTAGATCTCTGTATATTGAAAATCCCAACAGACAATGTTATAATATTTGCTCTCAATCATGACACATAAAGAGCCTAAGGAGACAAAAATAGTCTATTATATTTACCCACATATTTAGCATTTTTGTGCTTGTCCATTCACTGCTGCCCCCTTACCATGGGGTTGCAGCTTCAAGAGTAGGGTTTGGGAAAGCAAAAAAAAAAAAAAAAGAGGAAGAAGATTTTTTTTGTTTTCTCTGAGTCCCCCTTCCTGCCCTTTAGACTAGAGAGGGCCTAGGGGCGCCTGGGTGGCTTAGTCAGTTAAGCATCTGCCTTCGGCTCAGGTCGTGATCTCAGGGTCCTGGATTCAAGCCCCACGTCTGGCTCTCTGCTCAGTGGGGAGTCTGCTTCTTCCTCTCCCTCTGCCTGTCTCCCCAGCTTGTGCTCTCTCTCTCTCTTACTCTCTGAAATAAATAAATAAAAATCTTTTAAGAAAAAATAGACTAGAGAGGGCCTCTCTTGGACCTCTTCATGATATCTAGTTCTGGGATTTTTGAGTCCTGGAAGGAAAACATAACCCAGAAAACTCACTGCTGGGCCCCGTGTACTTCTAGGTCGGGTTTCCCTCCCCATGTTCTGAGCCCTTTCTCTTGAAGCATCCCTGGCCTTTTCAGCAGCCAGGAGGTGGCCAAGGGCAGCTGCCCTAGTTGCCGTACTCAGTGCCCCGCCAGGCCAGCAGCAGCAAGCCCGGGCTGAGTCGCTCTGAAAACCATCAGGCATCCTTGTTTACCTTCCACCAGTTGTCACTCTCAGGCTGTTCTGAGGCTCATGATGGTC